CAGAAACTGAGGAGACGCTGGTGCTGTGCTTGAACAGCCTGCAACACTGTGAGCCAGATAAACCTCTTTTCTTTATAAATTCTCCCATCTTAGGCATTCCTTTGGAGCAACGCAAAACAGACCAATACAGGGAGTACATCGATTTTCCCCATTTTCAAAGAAAGAAACTTTCGGCCAAATGTCTCGGTCAATGTCACATAGGTGGTGATGGAGGAGCCAGAGTTCTAGCTCAGACAGCCTGCCTCCAAAGCCCGTACTCATAACCAGCGTGAAGTCTACCTGGTCCTGCCTGTCTTAACATTCTTCCTAAACGTATGATGTCAATGAAGTACATATCATGGTGGACGTGTGGTGATATAGCTCATCACACACCTGCCGCTTCTTCTAGCCAACTGTCCCTGGATGGCAATTCCATATTTATCTCAATTAGGTACTTGGTTAAAACTTAATAATTATCTTTTTTTCTACAAATATTCTCTAGATTTCCTTGCCTCTGTCATTCATTCACATGTTAAAAGCATTATGCACTTGAAGAATCAAACAGAATAGGCAGAAATTTTTGTAAAGATAAAACTGTGCATAACACCCTTTTTTGTTCCATGAAGGATTAAGGCAATTCACAAGGATATATTATATTGACTGCACAAAGATTAAAGCAGATGAGAGCCAGCTAAAGAAGATAAAGCAGAGAGACCCCAAACGAAGCCGGGAATGAGGGTAACACAAAAATGTCCTCTACACTTCCACAGGTGGACCACAATTCTGTCCCCAGGTTTTTGTTTTAATGACCTTCAAATTCACACATCCCCATACAGGGGATGAGAGATGACTCTTAAGTTTGTGTTAATTACTTGAAAGAAATTCTAGAGACTTTGTTTCACAGTCTCCATGAGGTGAAAACGAATTCCTCAAAGAGCGCGTTACTCCTATGACTAAGACAGAAAATAATTTGCGTGTGGGCCCTCTGAGGATGGCATTGTATAAAGCAACAAACAATGTCATCCTTACAAAAAGCACAAGGGATGACATTCCACAGGGTCGTTTCTGACAGTGTCCCAGTAAAGGACGATAGCATTACGCTCCTGTTCCCAAGGCATGTGATAGAATCAGGAAGCTACAGTACAGATGGACACAGGCTCTGAGCACATTTTTCTTTCCTGCAGAGTCCAGGGACAGACCTGCTTGAAACACGGTGACCTACAAAAGGGATACACAGTTCAAAACCAGGTGGACAGCTCTCCCCAGGCCAAGACCTTCCCCAGCCATTCCAGCCCTCAGGGATTGGGCTCTCCTTTGCATAATTTAGCAATAGCAGAAACCACGTCACATTGCCCGCCGGCAGGTGTATGTGTTTAAGATTTTAAACCCTCCTGTGCAGGGCCTACATCTTGTGACATTTTATTCCTAGGGCTTGTCCCTTTGCCCTGCACCCACCAAACACTCATGCACAGGTTCAGCGCTTGTTGAGGATGATGATGACAATGACCCACTGGTGCTGTTAGAAAAGAATGAAATTAAGGTGCAAGAGGAGCCCACATGCACCCGGGCACTCTCCCTGCAGACCGATGGTCTTGCTACGTTGTTGTGATGCTGCAGCCTCACCCCACATTCGAATCCCAGGTCTTTCCACTTCCCCTATCTGCTGTTTCATTTCCACAGTGAGAATCTGGACTTATCTGCAGAGTTGTCTCAGGAAAGGGGAAGAAGAGATGGTTCCTGAGGACCACACCCTGTCACCACAGTGACTTCCCAGAAAAGTCATGGGTAAGACTAAACTCCCTCCCACCCTTTAACTCCACCACCAAGGACTTCCCGCCTAAAGTGCTGGATTGAGGAACCCCTGACCACAGGACCAGGCAATCTTAATTCTCTAGTTCATGAACTTAAACCTGATGGTCTGTACTGTCAAGAAATGAATCGGGAACAGAATGAAAACATAATAGGGAACCATCGGTCAAGGTAATAATCAAAATGTGTTGAAGAGACAGAAAAACTTAAAGGAATTGGGGGTAGAAGGAGGCCCTTACCATCTCCTTGGGAGCTGATGAAAGGCTGTGAGCTGAGGGAACAGAACCCAGTGCAGGCATGGGATTATCGGGGTAAAGCTCCCAGAAGGAAGCTGGTCACGTTGGATGGTGGGCAGAATCCAGCTGAGAGAATGATTTGGGTGGTGTTTGTATTAACCCTCAAACAGGTAAACTGGGGTGATGCATAAACGTGAGCTACATGCTTGCCTTTTACTTTCAATGTTTGGGCAAGAACATTAATTGACAGAAGTCCTACGTGGGGCTTATAAGAGTCATATTTTGCTGCAATTTGCTTACAAATTGGTCATATCGGGAAACAGTGAGAGTAAGCATTTGCACGCCACTGAGATGTTGCCAATCCAGCATTCAGATATGGTACTGGGTTGCAGAGAATAATTTTGTCATCGAATTGTAGAATCTATGAGATTTGCATTGACAAGGAGGTTTTAAGAATAGTTAAAAGGTATCTCCTGTGCAAGGTGACCTCTCTGGGCACAGACAGTGAGTTCTACCCAAAAAAGGGGAAGCCCTCTCCCATGGCAGGACATCTAAAAAAATGCCAGGCAAGCTCTGCTTCATGCTGGACTGTGGATCTCCCCCCTGCCCGCAAGCTTAGCATGGAGCCAGCTGCAAGGAAGGTACTCGTGTGAGACATGTTGGATTGAAATAAACTGATCGCTGAGAAGTAGCATCACTGAGGTCTTCAATCAGGCAATCTAAAGAAACCTCTCTAAGATCAGATGGAGCCTCCTTAAAGAACCCCGGACTTGTCCACCACCTTGCCAAGTCCCCTACCTGTGCCACCCTCACCAAACCTCCCCCAGAGGCCAACATGATTCTCCAGATAAGAATCTGGAGGTAACAGCGGCCACACACGCAGGGCCAAGAGATCAGGTGGGACGCTGGTGCACCAGCTCTGTTCCAATCCACCCCAAATTTTTGTTCCACATAGGCAGTGTGGTACCCAGAAACTTCAGGTTCAAAGACAATTATAATGATCAGATAAATGCTGGAACAATGAAGGAAACATGGCAACATTTTTATTAGACTGGGAAACCTTGTTCCACCCTCCTTCCTGAAGCTTCCAGGACATCATTATAAACCTTATTCAATCTCCAAGCCAGGAGAAAGCCTTTTTTCATCATACTGGACAGCACTACTTCTTGGAAAACTGTCCTTTATTATGAATGGAAAGCTGTCTCCTAATGATATCCACCCGTTGGTCCTTCTGGGGTCACACAGAGCATGTCTGCCCTTTCCACAGGGCAGCCATCCAGACACCAGAAGAGAACTGTCACTCCGCTGTAAGTCTTCTCTTCCCCAAGAGATGATGCCCTTCCAGGACCTCCAGAGACCTGCCCCAAACCCCCCACCAGCCTGGTCCCTCTCCTCCAGACCCCCATTTGTCACCTAAAAGTTTCTGTTCTGCAGAGCTTTTCTGCATCTGTCACCTCAAAGTCCCTCTTTTGGTTTCCAGTTGGGCTGGAAAGCTTCCTAAACATTCCAGAAATTTGTTACGGTCCTGGCAGCCAAATCCACAAAACCCAGATCCCAAGCTCTCACCAATCAGCCCGAGAACATGTTCAAACCCTCCTCTGGCCCACTCGGCCTGCGAGCAACCCTGCTGGCCCCTGTCCTCCCGTCCCAGGAATGAATCATGAGGTTCTCTCACTGTTGCTGTTGGCCACCCCTCAGGTTGCTCATTGGTGGGACAGACTCCACCCCAATGTCTTTGCCCTGAGCGCGGAAACCTGAAAGCGCAGGCAGCATTGAACACCCCATTACAACACCCAAGTGACTAGTCCCGCTTGACGGAAAGTGGGTCAAGACCGGGGAGGTCCTGGCCATTTGCCTTGAAATTTCCAGCAAAAGGTCATTTATCTGTAGGGGCCAGACCTCCAGATTCCTGCCCGGGGCTTCACCCGAGAGCCCCTCCCTCAATGCTCCAAGTCAGCTCTGCCTGGCCAGCAGCCTCGCTCCCACACACCCCACCTGCTCCATGCAGCAGCCGCACTGACCCCCACCCCACATGTGCCTGCTCTGTGTCACCGTCATATTGGGCTATACCCCATGACACTGCCCACTGCATTCTGCCTGGAGGAAGGGCTATATCTACATGACCCTGCCTTGGTTTCTAAGCTGGGCTCTCCTTGAGAGAAGCCCCTGGATCCTATTTAGCTGTGCCCCCAATCTTATGTCAGGTTGAAATAAACTGATCCCTCAGCCTTACTTGTGTCCAGTACTACCTACCTCCACTGACAAAGGTGGGAACTGAGCAGTCTTTCCTTTGAAAGAAAGTCAGGAGAAGACCACCACCACCACCGGCTTCACCATCTCTGTCTTCACAGGGTCTACCTGCAGATGATGAGCTGGGCTGCTCACAGCCTGTGGCCAGGAGGCTCTTGTTCCATCCCTTCCTGAATCCATGAGCTCTCCTTCTCCCTGGCTGGAGGACATGCTGCAAGCCCTAGCCCATCACCCATCACTTGCCTGTGTCAGCAGATGGAAATTGGTAAGCAGAGTCTGGCTGAATTGGAGCAACAGCATCCTACTTACAGTAACTGCATAGGGCAGCAGGTTTACCAGGAAGCAAAGTGCCTCACCACAATTTTTATGGTACCCCAGGACAGGAGCGAAGACAATTCCCAACCTCCTCAATGCAAGCCACAATCCAGAGGCCCGGGGGCCCAGTGTAATGCGCAATGCCCCACAGTGGAGCAGGAAACGTCAGAAGCCACTCCAAGCAGCTAGGTATCTCCTGCTGGGCTCTTCCATCCCTCAAGCTCACACAGCCTCTGCCGGCTACGCCCACACAAAACAAGCACTACTACTGAAGAGCTTCTCCCCTCTTCCTCTGTGGTTTCCATGGTGACAAGGGCAGCGTTTGGGCCCATGACAGTGGGAATGAAGAGTGGAAGCTCCAGGTCCTCCTTCCTCACCCCAAAAGGCCAGGACAAAACGGCCTGCTCTTACCTGCTAAGATGAAGATGCCCACTAGAATCAGGAAGACCAGCAGGTAAAGCCCCAGGACAGCATGCTTCAGGGCCGACAGGGACCCCAGCTGGGCACAGCAGCTGCTCGCCCGCCGTTTGTGGCATGGACCTGGACAATGTGGGTAAGAGGAGGAAGGAAAGAAGACACTTAAAAACCCCATCAGCTCTTTTCTTTTTGGGTCTCATCTCTCCCTGATGCGTGCAGGGAGAGATGCATTCTAGACATGCAGAGGTTCATATTGAACTTCTCAAGTCCCTTCTGCATGTCTAGAATGCAGCCACCTGACAGGGAGCTCTCCAGGACCAGCACAAGATGTTCAGCCTCTAGCTCTCCTCCCACTCTCTGTGTTCATGATGGAGCCAGATCACATGACCACAGCTCACATGCTCACACAAACCATCTCTCATTGAGCAGCTCCAAGCAGCAGAAAGACACTGAAATAGGCTTGAATATGTGGCTTTTACAAAGTGTCATTGTCCCACAGGATCCAGGGAGCATGGAGAGAAATTAAAATAAGAGTTGCAAACTCAAACTTCTCCAGTGGCTGGGAAGGTATGGGAGTGAGGGAAACAGGCCCAGCAGGACTGTGGGGAGGCCAACGGCAGGTGCCTGCTCTGGCAGAGGCTACTATGCAGGAATGAGGGGTGGGTGTGGCCAGATCCAGAACTTTCTATATCTATTTTTAAGTGTTGGCAACTAACTCATCAAACACAAAACACTAGGGAGTGTAAACAAAACACATCTGTAAGCCAGCTCTGACCACCAGCCTGCAACCTTGGATTTAGATTTGCTGGAAAACATGGTAACCTTATTCTGTGACTCCTCGGCTTCTGCTTAAAATGGAACAGGAAAATATCATTGCTGAAGTGGCCTTTTGGGCCATGTAATTCAACCCCTTTGGTGTACAGATAAGGAAGGCCAAACGTTGTCAAATGTTGGTTAGCGGCAAATCCTGCCCCAGGACCCAGGTTGATCTTTTAGCTGAACTTGTCCTGAAGGCAGCCTTCTCAGACAGCCTGTGCAGAGGCTTACTGACCTCCACCTGCTCTGTCCACTGAAAGTGGAAAGAAGGAATGCTCTCCCCGATGCCAGCAGGACGTCACTGAGGCATAGCACTGAATCACATAGGAATCACTGGGTGGGGGGCAGGGGGAAGCATTCAAAAAAAAAAAAAAGCATAACCCTTTAATGCTTGTTCCTTACCCCCTGTGGGTGAGACCCCTCTCTGGAAGGACTGTCTCCCACTTCAAGAGTATCACTAAGGCCAGGGGCAGTGGCTCACACCTGAAATCCCAACAAGATGTGAGGCCAAGGTGGGCAGATCACTTGAGGTCAGGAGTTCAAGACCAGCCTGGCCAATATGGTGAAACCTCATTTCTACAAAAAATACACAAATTAGCTGGCCGTGGTGGCATGTGCCTGTAATCTCAGCTACTCGAGTAGCTGAGGCAGGAGAAACACTTGAACCCGGGAAGCAGAGTTTGCAGAGGGCAGAGATTGTGCCACTGCACTCCAGCCTGGGTGTCACAGTGAGACTCAGTCTCAAAAAAAGAGAAAAGAAAAGAAGAAGAGTGTCACTAACTGGAGTGGGCAGAAAAAGGCTGTCTGTCAAGAGAGGTGAAAATAATTGATATTTAGAAAACATCTTACAAAATGGTGCCACATTTCCAATTCTTTGTAGGTTTCCATTTGTAGGACGGTACCTCAAGGGTCATATGTCACTTCTCAGGTATCATTACTACCTCCTCAGGAGGTTTTATGACCACAAGAGAAATGGCGGTGACTCTTGGTACCTTAGGATCCACACAGCCCTGGTCCCACAGAGGTATTGTTACGTAAGGGATATTTTCCCACTCGTTGACTTTGTTTTATTACAAATACTGCCGTCAAACCAGCTAAACAGTTTTACAGGATATTTGCATAAGACACTGGGTGCAGTGTGGAGCAAGTTGTCAAATACAAATCCAATGACCATTCTTACTCACCCTTACATGTTAGCAAGTTTCGAAGAGTTGAGCTGATTTTCCGCTAAGACAAAATAGAGCAGATCTGTCTAACTCCCCCTAAATCTTTTCTGGGATTTTCTATCCCTTACCATGCATTAGGATCTACGATGGGTTTTGCTCCTAAATATCCAGTAATATTTCATCTTTTTTTTTCCTTCTGGTGAGAGCCACTAGCTGTTTGGTTGCAACTTAGCAGAGAAAAGTCTATTTCTCCCAAGAGTCAGAGTGGGAGGTAGAGCACTGAATAATATGATACAAATGCTGGTTTCGTTCTCATGGTGGTAGCTTCATCTCTCCTGCTGAGCCCTGTTTCCTCCTTAGCCTCATGACAGAAGAGGAGGAGGAAAACCGCACACAGCCATGAACACGGCTAACTTGAAGTCTGCCTTTGGCGTCTGCCTGTGTGTTGCTAGTTCACTGTAGGTGGGAGTCAAAGTGTAATGATGTCACTCTATTTCTTTCCCATAAAAAGAATAGTTCCCTTGCCCTCTACCTGAGGCTTCTATTTAATGGCAAGCACCCGCTTGTGACAGGTGCCTTAATCAGCCAACACAGACCTTCCTCTGAGAGAGCTTTGTTCTTTCAGCAAGACTTGGTTACTTTGGGCATTAAACCAAGTCTGTTTTAAATAGCACATAATGAGGGTTACAAAGAGAGGTTTCCCGCAAATGGTTAGACAAGCAGAACATGAATGGTCTGGCAAGACCCTTAGAGAATCTGATTGCAAGGGAAGACGACAATTTAAGACAAGTTAAAAGGCTGCCCCAAAACACATTTGTGAGCTTTTATTTTTTCCAAGCGGCAGCGGCACGTTAGCTGGGTAAAGCCTTCAAATTACTTAAAACTTAGTGGAAGGTTACAAACACTCCAGAATAATTCAATCAGCAAAGCCAAGGCCAAAATGATGCCTACTTTGTTAAAATAATTTAAAGAAACAAATGCACTACCAAGTCATGAGAAGACACGAGGAATCTTAAATGCACAATAACTCAGTGAAATAAGCCACTCTAAAAAGCTACATACTGTATGATTCTAACTATGTGATATTCTGGGAAAAACAAAACTATGAAGACAGTAAAAAGGTCAGTGGTTGCCAGGAATTGGGAGGGACGGAGGGATGAATAGGTGGAGCACGGGGAATTTTTAGGGCAGCAAAACTCCTCTGTATGTTATTGCAGTGATGGATGCATGCCATTAGACATTCGGCCAAACCCACAGAATGTTCAACACCAAGAGTGAACCCTAAAGTAAACGATGGGCTCTGGATGGTAAAGATGTGTCAACGTAGGTTCACTGATTGTGACAAATGCACTACTCTGGTGGGGACATAGGAAAGTTGTGTACTTTCCTTTTGACTTTGCCATTAAAAAACCTGACACTGCCATTAAAAAATCAAAGTCTATTAAAAATAAAAGTAGAGCTTTTGACTTAGGGATCATTGGGGTAAAAACTTTAACAGGCATTTATGGAAGACCCACTGTACAAAGCCCTGCTCTAGTAGCCAGACTTATGGTCCCCATGATCCCAGCCCCCTCTGCCATCAACCCCCTTCCACGTTGTACCAAGGTTCGTCTGTGTGATCAACAGCATAGGGCAGAAGTCATGGTGTATCACTTCTGAACTGAGACAAAAGACACTGCAGCTGCCTTCTGGCTCCCTCTTTCTCTCTTGGAACCTTCGTTTGAGGGGAAGCCAGCTGCTATATCATAAGCACCCACAGAGAGGCTTATGTGATGAGGAACTGAGGGCTTTGGCTGACAGCCATGTAGATGAGTGAGGCTCTAAGCAGATACTCCAACCCAGTCAAGCCTTCGGATGATGGCAGCCTGGCCGATACCTTCACTGCAACGGAGGTAGAAGGTGAGATTCAACTCTAGAGGCGGGGCTCAGACACCAGACCAAACTGAGGACTAGCTAAAAAAGGGACGCAGGAGAAGCAACTTTTCACAATACACACCCACCAAAGAACCATGTTGTTTACCATTGCCATGGGAACACCCAGACATTACCACCCCTTTCTATGGCAACAACCCAATAACCCACAAGTTACCACCTTTTTCTAGAAGTTCCTGAATAAACAGCCCATAGGTTACATATAATTAAAAATGGGCATAACTAGGACTGCAGAACTGCCTCTGAGCTGCTGTCCTGGGCACTCTGCCTATGGGGTAGCCCTTCTCACCAGGGAGCAGCACCTCTGCTACTGCCATGTGCTGGTGCTTCAATAAAAGTTGCTGTCTACGACTACTGGCTCACACTGGAATTCTTTCCTGGGCAAAGTCAAGAACCCTCCCAGGCTAAGCCCCAATTTTGAGGCTTGCTCCTCCTGCATCACTACCTCTTGAGAAAGCCTGAGCCAGGACTACTCTGCTAAAGTGCTCCAGATTATATAGACATATGCGCAAAATTTTTAACCTGAAAAAATTAACAAAATCTTGGCATTTTTTTTAAACACACCCCTGACTTCCTCAGAAACTCTGTGAGGAATAAATTTGTTTTATGCAGCTCAATATTGGGGTAATTTGTTATGCGGCAACAGATAACTAATACACTTATGATAGATGCTGGGAAATACAAAGATGATGCCCTGTGGGAGGTAGGGACTTTGTCAGCATTGTTCACTTCCAACTGCCCAGCTCCCAGCCCAGTGCCTGAACATAGCAGATGCTCAGAGCATATGTTGAGAGATTAAGACGCACCCACTGCCTTTCAGATGCAGCCATGGGAGGAGAAGACAATGCATAAAAGGGTAACTGCAATGCACAGAAGAATGAGGTTAGTGCAGAAGGGGCCCGTGACACAGTAAAGTGCTGTCTGCACAGGTGGCAATGCATTTGGTGTCACAGGAGGTCACAGAGTCAGCATGGAGGAGGTTGCAATTCACCAGTGCATGAAGGACAGCCCTTTCTAGATTGGCTGAACTCTTTCTCTTTACCTCATTGTCCAATGCTCAGCTCTTACAAATTCAAAAACAATGACTTGAAGGAGCAAACGGTCTTCCCTCTCTGTGTGAACCATCTGCAGGAAGTACCAGACAAAGCCGTTCATGATTAGCAGGTTGTCTGCAGACGCAGGCACACACAAGACCAGAGTGCTGGAAAA